ATACACGATTTCCATCTGAATCTCTTTTGGAATTATACCTACTTCATCATACAGAGCTATACAATGCAATGCGATTCAGCGACTTCTGTATAGGTACAACTGCTGTATCGCGAACAGCTTTTGAATTTCGAGTATCAGGAAATCGACGATCAAAGCATCATACGTTTTTTTAATATTTAAAGTGCATGCTGACACGTATTTGTTTCATTAAATTTGTTCATTGTCTTTGTGCAATAAATACGTGTTTTGTATGTTTTCATAAATATTTATGATTTATGTAAATTGTCTACGTAATTCACAGCGTTTAATGATCATAAACATCAAAGCTACCTTGTCGTAGGTCGCGGTTAATATTGAAGTTATTTTAGGACTATCTCATTTTTAGTATGTACACAAAATAAAAAATTCAGAGGTTCAACGCCAAAAGTTACTGCAAAACGAAAGTCATAAGTAATCATTATGCATACTTCTCACAAAATATTTACCTTAATTTACTACGTTTACGTTTCACATTCTTATTTCCGGGAAATTAAGGAACATTTGTCTACGATATTAAACGAATAAAGATTAGAAATGCGACACTTTGTTATGCAAGTCATAAATTTCACCTCATTACGAAAATTTTGTTCTTAAATGAACAGTCCTGCTTAGGGGACAATAAACCTCCCAACAATTTGCTTCACAACGTATGCCGTTAGAAAATAAAAACTTTAGTACTTAAATATTTAACTAAAAAAGACTTAACCTTTTTTGGTGCCTGGCCGAAGTATAGGTCATCATTATGGAACATTCTACAGGTAACTACTTTGTGATCTTGAGACTTCCAACAATGAAAGCTGATTCAAGCTGTGTCTAAGAATGTAGGGATGAGAATTATTCCTTGTTTCAGACAACAGGACATAAAATAAAACAAGTTAAAAAGTCATTATGCAGACATAAACGAGGAGAGCGTATTTTCCTCCTAATAATATTAATGCTAGGACTGGGAAAAAATACCGGTAGGCACGGGATTCTTACCCCATTCTCTTTCAAGTGAGCCGCCTATCGTCGAAGTCTATACAGTTTAATGAAAGATAGTGGAGCGTATACAAATACATAAAAATTTTGAAATGGGCATTTTTACTTTTATTCGAAGTGTCTAATATGAAACATTTTCCAAATTATTTCATAAAATAGCATTGCACATTCTCTACACTAGAAATTCCATTGAATGCCTTCATAAATAAAACATACAGCATGCGTCAACAGTAATTTCGAAACCGGTATTAGTTTTAGTTTCATTCAGCTGCTTTCATAAATAAGAAATTTGCCATTGCGCATGCGCAAAACCAAATTTTAAAACTGGTGTTAGATTTGTCTCTATTCCAAATGCCTATGTATAAAATTTCATTTAAATGCTTTCATAAATAAAAAACTTCAATCTGCACATATTTACTATTGGGTAAACCGGGCAACTAATTATGGGAAATTAAACTATTTACGCAAATGGCAATTGAATACGGCGTTAGCATATGTCGCGTTACAATCGATTGCAAATAGTTTCAATTACGGTTCGCATAATTTCGAATAATTACTGATCGTTTTGCGAGAATGTATGAAATATCTGGCCGACCTCAGGAAATTTCTATGTGGCGTAATTACGGTATGGATCTCAAAAACAAAGCGTGCTCAAACTTTTACGCTGCCTCTAACAAACTTTGTTCCGATGTATAAAGTCTTGCCAGGTAAATATTTTAGTTTGTTTAAGTTCATTAATGATCTACATAAGCGCGCATTGAAACTTTTCGTAACCTTTTATGCGAAATAACTTCAAGACGAGAAAAAAGTTAATGTTGATTTCTTTGTTCAAGCCTTGCGCCCACAAATCACTGATTTTTAAATCCCCGTGTAAATAGGAGACTAGGAATTGCATTAAGTAGCCATAACGTATGGAGAACCACCAACGCCTAAAGGATTACACAAGAATGAGAGGAAATAATGCATTGAATGAGCTCCAATATACTTCGCTATACAACCCTTCATAATACAAAAATTCATAGCAAAGGTCTGCATCAAAAGAGCACAATCATGCATGGCAATAAAATTGTTTGCCCTAATGTAAAACAAGGTAGAGTCTCATTGGGTTGCAATGTTATTAACCGGGTGGAATCATCCCTTTCAGAGCTGAGTAAGAATGTGCTCTTTCCCTTGCGATGAACTTTGGTAGGAAGTCCGCGCACAATTCGCATGAAAATTAAACAATATTATTAGAATCACAATTAATATTTAATTAAAAGAAAAAGAAAATTTACAAATGATTGGAATTAAATCACACCAGCGGGCGAAAGTAGCGGCAGTCGGCGGCAACCTGGATATGATGTCGGCGAAATGAACGGACGGACTCGAGCCTTGCTTCTGGCGGTTTCGCAGTACAGAATTCGGCGGGCGTTTACCTCCAGGGAAGCAACTAAAACACAATTATGGCACACGGACACGGTAGCGATTGCCCTAAACTAAAGGGAACGCAAGCAACAAAGCATAGATTAATTAGCTGCAGGTATGGAAAACCAAATGCAGGAAAGGTAAAACAATACTCCCCTTATGTGGAGCTTGTGGGACTTATGGGGGCTTGTAATGAAATCACTCACGGCCTGTTCGAATACGATTCACTGTAACTCATTTAATTGGGTACTGTTAATTACACTTACTTAATTTGCCGGATTAAAATTTTCAAATTCGGCAGCCCAGTAATGGTCATTGTTACCTGGAATTTCGGGTCAATCGCAAAAGGTCTGCGATAATGAAATAAACTGTGCAGCCCTAATGCTCATGGGAAACTAAAATCGATTATTCATGAACAAAGGGAAATGAAATGAAAATATTAATTTCTCCACTGCTTCCCCATGCCGAGGTCTGTCGGATGCTACTAAAATAATTTACAAATCTCAACGAGAACAATTATAAAACTGATCAATTAGGTACGGAAACTAATTTCCTTATCAGCAGTTAAGTACACCACTTAACAAATTAAAACGGATACTTCTACCTTTATCTCCAACTCCTAAAAGAAAGAAATAGTTTCGGAACAACACTTTTTGTAAAGAACTAGCACCTCTATATACGGGATGTTCAATAAAGCTGGGAGCGGTCGTCTATGTACGGTGTGTCCATAAATTCCGGTATGAAAACTGAGTGCTCCGTTACACCCTTTCCTTTTATGTAAATATATACGGAGTACTCTGAAATTCAAGTCAATTTATGTAATGGAAAGACAAAATAACAGCAATAGATTCTTGAACTTATAAGCACGATTGCTGAAGATCTTAAATTTCTAATTAAAAAGAAATTAAATATTAGGAATGATGTTGGAATATCATTTTTACAAAATCACCACACTGTCTCTTCGGCACTTCTTTATACAAGGTGTAACAATTAAGTATATAAAAAATAAATTGGAGAAGAAGTTAAAACAAAATCGTTATTTTTATTTTGAAAAACCCCCAGGTACAAAATTTGGTAGAGGGTGCAATTTTTTCGCACACACAGCATATTGTGGTGGCGTATGCTCTAAAACCTACCCGCTAGCATCGCGCTATTGTCAATGCTTATCGGTGAAAAAAATGAAAGAAGAAACTCGAATTTTAGTACTTTGGGACCCTTCATGGTATTCTAATGAAAGGTCTCATCGAAATAAATTGGGTTGTACAAACTATAACTTTTTAGGGCGACTCTTTTTCGAGATCAGTTGGTGATGGGGTCGGGGAGGGGGGGGGGTCTTAGAAATTAATTTCATGGTATTCTAATTAAGGGGCTCAACGAAAGGAACCGTTTTATACCAATTACTGCTCTTCATTCTGTCCTCTTATCAAAAGACGGTGTTGGTGGGGGGAGTTGAACTGATTTTATCCTTCATGGTACTCTAAGGTCTTAACGAAAAGAATTTCTTTCTACCACCCATAGCTCCCTCTTCAACCCCTTTTCACGTGATCGGATATATTCGCTTTTATCTCCAGAACGGATTGTCGGAAGGGGGTACACAAAAGGGTGATTGGGACGTTTGGAAGAAAATGTCAAAACATTAAGAGCGAATATCTCGAAAACGGTTTGTTGGAGGAATGTGACTCTCACAGACAAAATCTGCAGAAAGGGGTGCGAAGGATTTTTAGTGTACGCCAGGCGGTCTTTAAATGTATGTGTGTCTCCTCCCCTTATAACCCAACCATTTTCTAAGATATTTCGATTTTAAAAATGCGCACTTCGCAGGTGTTGAGTTCGGATCCCACAACTTGTCAGTTTTTAGTGGTATAGAACATCTCCTGACCACCGAACTACCTTTTTTGTTTGGAGCTAAAAAACTAATTCCAATTTTTTCACACCGACAGTCATAATTCCCATTTTGCCAACTGTGAATGGTCCCTTCTTTAATTACTGAGTGACAACTGGCGAATTGGCTTCAGAATGTCGATGTCTAATTTCTCATTGGTTAGTGTCTTTCTTCCTACCAATCCTAAATGACTTTGAAAATCATTAATCAATCCCATCTCTTTTCCAAACTAAGCTGACTCAAAGATTCCACGGTGAGTTTATCCCATAATGAGTTAAGAAACGTAACTTTACCTATTAAACAGGACGGATTCGATCTAACCTGCAGACTTCAAGGCGCTTCCAATCCATTAAAGGACAAAATCCCAACTTTATAAAATGACGCACATCCCATTGACCATCAAAATGATTACCAAGAATAATATTTCTGTCTGTAAAAAAACTTAACGTATTATATTATACGAATTATGGATTGATTTACGAAGTCACAAGAATAAGCATACTAGGATTAAGATTAAGCAAGCGATTCGTATCACTTAATTAAGATGGTCGTCGATTAATGTGGTAATTTTCACGCAAGTCTCGAGCACCCCTTCCTAGTTACCCTTACGAGATGGCAATGTTGTGACAAACTAGAAATCTTTACTTATTTTCAGCAGAACTAAAACATCTACCTAACTGTTTTCTTTTTGTTTCAGTTAGTGCGTGGTTGTGGATTCCATTTCGAAACATCTGGTAAGTTAGTAGTATTTATGATTTTATAAACAGTTCATGGATAGATGTAGCACAGGACGTCTACCAATTATTTCCAAGTCACTGTTTTTTTTGTTACTAAGTAGGTACATAATAAACCATTTGACTTAATCTGTGCATCGAATTAATATCAATGGTCACCATTTTATTAACGTACCACAGACATGGGGTGGAGTTAGTTGATCCTCCACCACTCAGAAAATAAATTTTGATGTCCAATGTGTCAAATACATTTTTTTTTTGAGATTGTAATTTGGAGACTAAAGAAACACTCAGTCCTCCAAAATTGTCGCTAGTTTTTAGAAGGAAACTAACAATATTGTAAACCGTATCCAATAGATTAATTCAATTCATTGCTATTTGAGGCTAATTCATGTGAAATCCGTTCAAAATTCATAAAGAGCGAAGAGGAATTTAGGGGAAATAATGTAATGTGGAATGGAAGTAGATTAAGAAGAGGAATTGAAAATGATCTTAAGGGGAATTTAATTAAAATTGTTTAGTAATGGAAGTATGAGCAGTACTTCAGAAAAAGTTATTGGAAGAATTTATGCGGATTGCCAAAGGATATTAAGAAAATCTCAGGAACGGTTCAAGCGAATGTAAGCATGTGAGTGTTCGACAAAAATCTATGAGGAATTATTTAAGAGGTCTTCCGAAGGGTGCCCGGAAGAATTAAAGAATTTGGAAAAAATTTAAGCCGTATCTTTTTCCTGAAGAATTCAACATTAATTTGTTGTGATTCAAGATTTTCAAAATTCAAGGAAAGTTGGGGAGTAAATATATAAATAATAATATAGCATTTTAGATGTAAACGTAAATTGAGAAAGATCTAAAAGAAAATTCAAGAGAAAGCAATATCATGAGGTGTTCATGAAGATTAATTGGGAAAAATTCAGTAAGAATTGCAATAGGTAACCATAAGAAGGAATTCGGATTTCAAAAGGAATTCAAAAAGAACTTTAATAATAATTTTAAGCACTTAGTCCAAGAGATTTCAAAAGAGTAGATATTCAATTCTTCCTAATTGTTAAAGAATCCAAAAGGAATTTGGGAGACGCTTATGTGGCCTATTTTAATTCATTCCTTGTCTTCAGTTGATTTTTGAAAAAATACGCTATTATATTCGTTATGGCTGGTTGGCTGGCTGTCCGGATGAGATCTCGGCAATTGCAATAGCTAGAGACTTCACATGTTCACTAAAAGCTTTCTGCTATAGTGTAGATGTGCAGGCTCTAGTCTATTTTGAGTTAGATTACACGTGAGAACGATAATTTTATTTGCTAATCTTTGCTGATCTGTATCATCCCAAATGCGCTTTGACCATGCATATAGTAATTTACAACTTGTTTACTGTACGGTGACGTGGTGTTTCCTTCTTATTTTGTCAATAAATAATACCATTGCAGTGACTCATGTTCTTTCTACGACATGAAAATCCTAAAGGATGTGGAAACACAAGAACGCTTAATGGGTATGTTTAGCATGGATCTATATTTAAAATCTCAGTGGCGCATGAAAATAGAAGATTAAATTTGGTCTTTAAATAGATGAATTCAAAGCACAACTGGTAGGGGCAATAAAAAATGAAACGGAATTTTATTTCCACGTTAATTCAAGGTAACTGAAAATGTATGTTTGGAGTGAGCAGGTGTAGGTAGACGCAATAAAAGCGACGCCTGCCATTTTCGTGAGTGTCGTCCTTGTTATTTCCTCATAGCAATGGAACTACGGGTATGCATTCAGTATATTCGAGGAGGAAACGGCACGCGCATTTTAATAAGGACCGTTATGACGCCACCGGATATGCATTTGTACTGTAATACAATGTCAATTTATAACAATAAAAGTAGTTGAAAGTGTGCTTCATTTGAAGAGTGCCAGACAATGACAGTATTTCGAAGCTTCTCTGTCTCAATCTCCTGAAATATTGATTTGTTAGACTTTACAAATCCGGAGTGTTGAGAAACTTTCAAAAGTGCATTTATTAACTATTTTCAGTTTCTCGCCGTAGTTGAGACAATATAGTATAAAATATGAAAACCAAAACCAATGCTAAACTATTTGGATTTTCCCCCAATCCCAAAATAACACAATAAAACTGACGAAGTTGTTTTTATGCCTTACAAGATTACCTTTAATCGGGGCGAAAACTGCAGTGTCGCTAATGCAAACAAAGAAGTACTTTTCCAAGGGAAATGAAAGCGCGAGCACGTCCGTAACAAAACTTGCAGTGAAAAAATCCCACACTTTGAGGAACAGTAATTTAGAAAGCACACACAAAATTAATTACTACTTCAAGACTGAAAGCTTTGGAAAAAGCACGCCAAACAAATTTATGGAATTGAGTCAAGACTGGCAAAGCCTCTTGTATAAAATTACGTTTTAGTATTTGGAAAATATGTTTCTTTACTTTGTAAGCAATTTCCTACTTGGATCAGCTCAAGATGTCTTTTACCATACAAAAATTGGTGAGTAATTTATCTCCACAGTACACTGCACGTCTTTCGTAATTTCATGTTTGAAGCCCACACGAACTGCAATCCGCAAAGGAGTAAAACAGAATTATAAAACAGTAGGAGCTGAACTGAAACTGAAACTTTTTCAGCGCAGAATATTTTAAAAACGGACATGTACACTCCAGGCTTGTTTTTTCAACGTTGTTGTGATCGATAAATCGTGTTACTGCCGGTTTCCTATTTCTACAAGCTACTATATTTAACTTACGGATTGCTTCATGTTTTCCGTTCTGAATTTATGTGCTCAAATATATTACTAATGGTGGGTTGTACATTTTGTTGCAGGTGGAAGTTCCTTCGCCACACACATCTAGATTATTCTAATAGTGATATTAATTATAATATGAAGTTTGTCAAAAGTATTACGTTGGGTTCCGTGCGTGGGGAAAGTCTAACGAATTGAAATGTAATTTTGATAAGAATAATAAATAGTAAATTATTTGGTGTAGAGAAGACGCGTCTGCGTTTAGTCGCCGAACGACACTTTTCCTTTCGCAGGCAGGAAAAGGAAAAGTAAAATCTGCTCTAGCGATAATGCCAAACTTTGGGATTGTGTAATAATAGGTGTGTAATAGACTCCCCCCTCTGGCTGCTAACGACCGATGAGAAGCCCCGATCCATGAATCCAATTGCCAGAGAATAACAATTATGGATGATGGCAATTAAAATTCCATGCGTTCTCAACTAATGCCTCAGCTGTTTGTTCAAACGAAGTTCACTTTGTTACGGCTCACAAAAGAAGATGAAAATGAAAGTGGACAATCGCCATTCCGCTTTTCACTTATAAATTACTCGATTCGCGGCTTCTCCCCCTGCTCGGTGACGAAAATGGCGCATAGCACACGGTGCAGAAGAAATGTCTCTCTTTTACTCACGGCTTGGTAACTTTGAGGGTTATTTGGGTAATTGACCTTTTCACAATCTCTGGAGACCGTTGTAGCAACGGAAGGCTCTCTCCATTGTCTCCGAACCTCGAAGGGCACTTGGAGAAAGATTCCCTCGGCCGCTTGGTGGATTGGTCTTGTGTACGGATCTGTTTGATTAGGAGCTGAAGCTGGTCCATCATGAACATAACTGTGGTTCTATCTCCCTTCTTTCTCTTCGCTTTTGTTACCGTTTCTTCACCGTTTTGGCTGTTTCGTCTGGGGCCATTTGTGATTTCGATATTTCTCGAATCTGGTCATATGGAAATTCCTTGTTTTGTCAGCATTTTTTTGTTTTTTCTCTTAGGTAACCAACATTTTTGTAAGGTAAATCTATCTACTTTTCTAATGTTAATTTTTTATTAGAGTTCTTTTTATTTTAATTAAAAGGTTACTATTTTAGTTATAAGAAACACTACTTGCTTAATTATTAGCTTTAAGATTGTCCTGTAATTGGAAAGTTAATTTAATAATAATAATAATAATAGTATTTTATTCCATAGACAAACTAGTTTGTGTGGAAATTGTCAACAAATATTTAAATTACGAGTAGGTACTACATTGAATATTATATAGGTAAAAAACAAATTACACATTAAATAGCGACAAACAAGTTACCTTAACCAGTAAAATATTCACTTATATCATAGTGACATTTGTCAACTAGAAACAAATATAATTTTTCTTTAAAGATTGATAATTGCCTACAGTTACGTATTATGTAAGGTAAATGGTTATAGATCTTAATTCCCAGATTGGAGGGTGAATTGATTCCAATTTTTGTCTTAGTGAAATGTGGTCGAAGATTATCATTACCTCGGATATTGTATTGATGTATATCCTTACTTTTAACCATCTTGTTAGAGTTGACATAAATATATTGACAGATTTCAAATATATACAATCCAATACAATTTCTGTTGGACATGTATTAAATATGATTATGATTCATGGTATTTTAATGAATGGTCTCATCAAAAGGAAATGGTTTTCACAAGCGATAACTGTCATCCGCTATTTCTCTTCGAAATCAATTAGGGTGGAGGGGGACTGAAAATGGTTTTATCTTTCATGGTACTCTAATTAAAGGTTTCAACGAAAGGAACTGTTTTCTACCAACTATCATCGCCCTTTTTTCTTCTTGCCCCTTATAGCACAGTGTTGAACGAGAATATGGCAGAAAGGAATGTCGACATATCTATTGATGACGAGATTGATGATGTCAAAATTTCAAGTGCGAATCTCTCGAGAATGAATTGTCGAAGGAGGGTATTGACAAAAAGAAAATGGAACGCCTGGACGAGCACATCTATTGATGGTATCGTTAAGACGGATATTTTTTCAAAAATTATACTGGCGATGACACCTGGGTGTACCGCTGAGATTCTTCAACCAAACATGATTCAATGCAAAAAAAGCGAAAACGCAGTATTCGGCGGGAAATGGTTTTCTGGGTGTGTAAGAAGAATCTGTTGAGTGAGTACCTACACTAGAATTAACGGCGATGTTTATAAAGAGACTATTGACATATTCCTAGAGA